TGCGTGCGCTCCGCGGCCGAGCTGGGCTCCTCCTCTGCGTGCTGCTGCTGGCGGCGCTGCTGGCCGCCGCGCGAGGGCACCCCATGAGGAAGCTGCGGGGCGGCAAACTCCGGCCCCGCAGCCGCGGGAAGCTGGCAGAGGTGAGTGGCGGCGGCACTGCGCGCGCGATCTCTGCTCCCCGGCCCGCCGGCTCTAGCAGTGCGTGGAGCGGGACCGAGACACACACAGGAGGGCGACCCCCCGAGGGAGAGGGGCCGGGGCTGGCTGGACGCCCTACGACACCCGGCGCTAGCCAGGTGCGCCGGACCTCGGGGCTCCCACTCCCCGCATGTGGCCGCGAGGAGCTGCTGCGGGGCCCAACTTTAACTTCTGTGGTGAGTGAGGTGGCCGACAGTCCGCGATGGCCGAGTTTCCTAGCCCCTAGCAAAACTCGCCTGCAGCCCCCTGTCCAGGTGCGCGCTGTCTCAGAGAGGAGTCCCAACAGTGCGAGGAAGCTGGCCCTTTGCGCAGTGGCGGGCCAGGGCCGCTGAGGTTCAAACGGTCAGGTGAGCCCCTTCCATGAGGCATGCGGAGGCACAGCGGGGCTCTCCAACTGCTGGCCGGGGTGTCCAGCCCCAGACTGGCGCTGTTCTGGAGGGCTGTGGGTGAGCCTTGGGGTATAAAACAGGAATGAGTTGGAAGAGTGGTGTTGGCCACATGGAGGGAAGCCATGGTCTGTCAAGCCCTGTGTCTTCCAGTCACTGAGGAGTCTACAGTCCAGCTTGTTGCCCCTTGAAATGCAACGGGCATTCATTCCCATGGGAACAAAGACAGCCAGATTTGTATTAGGGTTGCAGGAGCAGGCCTGTGTGGCAGGTGGTCTTAAGTCTTGGGTCCTGGGTTCTTCTATGTACTGAGTTGTAGAAGGCCAGAATAGTTCTTCCCATTTTTTTTTTTTTTTTTTTTTTTTTAAAGACGGGGTTTCACCACGTTGATCAGGCTGGTCTTGAACTCCTGACCTCAGGTGATCCGCCCGCCTTGGCCTCCAAAGTGCTTAGATTACAAGCGTGAGCCACTATGCCCGGCCTGTTCTTTCCATTTTTAATCAAAGTATTTAATGTCCCCAACTGAATTATGTCATATGTTCCCAAACAAGCTCGTCAACCGCCTTTTCCTTCTTTCTTAAAAAATTTTCAGGCTGGGCATGGTGGCATATGCCTGTAGTCCCAGCTACTCAGGAGGCTGAAGTACGAGGATCGCTTGAACCCAGGTCGACCTCCTGGGCTCAAGTGATCCTCCTGCTTCATCCTCACGAAGTGCTGGGATTATGGGTGTGAGTCACTGTGCCCGGCCTTCTTTCAGACCTTAACATCGCCTTTCCATTGTGGGTTTCCCTGTCCACCTTTTTGTGGGCTTCTGTTTTGTTTTTTTGACACAGGGTCTCACTCTGTCACTCAAGCTGGAATGCAAGAGCACAATGATCATAGTTCACTGCAGCCTCAAACTCCCCGAACACGCCTGTAGTCCAGCTACTCGGGTGGCCGAGGCGGAAAGATCGCTTGAGTCCAGGAGGTCGGTGCTGCCGTGAGCCGTGACTGCAGCACTGCCCTCCAGCCTGGGCAAAACAGGAGACCCCCGTTTCAAAAGAGAAACTATTTTTTCATTCAACCAACAGAACAAAATCACAATGAGCAGAGCGCACAACAAAAATGCAGTTATTAAAACAATGCTCACCAATAGTTCACAAATCAAAAAGGAGGAAATTCAAACCTTGAGAGGTAATACAAACGTAGTTGCTCACTTAATTTATGAGATTTTTTCCTTACCAGAGAATGGTTGAAGAAACAGATAGGACTCAGAGGGAAGAGAAAAATCAACAGATGTGTTAGTGTACGTTTTTGTTTTTGAGACGGAGTCTTGCTCTTGTCGTCCAGGCTGGAGTGCAATGGTACAATCTCGGCTCACTGCAACCTCCTCCTCCTGGGTTCAAGTGATTCTCCTGCCTCAGCCTCTCTGAGCAGCTGGGATTAGTGCCACCACGCCCGGCTAATTTTTGTATTTTTAGTAGAGATGGGTTCTCGCCATGTTGGCCAAGGTGGTCTCAAAACTCTTGAACTTGTGATCTGCCCACCTCGGCCTCCCAAAGTGCTGGGATTACAGGTTTGAGCCACCATGCACAGCCTCGTCTATGATTTCTATAATACACTAAACAAATGGGGGAGGAATTCAACCCCTCTGATATGAAGACCTTGTGTTATTAAATAAAGAGCACTTCCTTTCACCTGAATATATTTCTAGAGAAAATCTCAATGGCTGGAAAATTTCAGCAACTTATCCCCCAAAAAATGACAAGTCCACATTTTAATCTTTTTATTTATGTAAAAAATTGTAACTTATTTCACATGAAAGCTTTTAGACTAAGTTAACTGTAAGGCCAAAGTTTTTTTCTCAAGCAACAAGGACCTAGGGAGGCTTTTCTGCCTACTTCACACAGTGCGTAGTGTGCTCCTTCTATCTCCTTCAGAGAAGAGCCAGGGACCGTCACATCGGCCAGCAGGGGGAGGCCATGATCACCACTGCAATCACCGCTGCTGGCCACAGACCTCTCAGGGCACATCCAACGTGTATATAACTAGTTATCAGTCATCTCCGTGGTGGGGCTGGGAGCAAAGGGAATAGGACTCTATTACAAGGCAGGTAAGTTGGCAGTGACAATGCTCATTACCTAAGAAGTACAACCTTACCCAAAAAAAAGTCACCAACTTTTATTATTATTTTTTAAAATGGAATTTCACTCGGTCCCCCAGGCGGGAGTGCAGTGGTATGACCTCACCTCACTGCAACCTCCGCCTCCCAGGTTCAAGCTATTCTCCTGCCTCAGCCTCCCAAGTAGCTGGGATTACAGGTGCCCGTCACCACACCTGGCTAACTTTTGTATTTTCAGTGGAGATGGAGTTTCACCAAGTTGGCCAGGCTAGTCTCCAACTCCTGACCTCAAGTGATCCACCTACCTTGGCCTCCCAAAGTGCTGGGATTACAGGATGAGCCACCACACGTGGCCAAAAGTCATTAACTTATGAATAAAAAACTCACTGTGTCAGACACAGTGATAACAGAGTTACAGGGCTTGCATGGAGCACAGTTGATCATTAGAGAAAACTTGATGAATTGAATGACATCGGAAATACAGAAACATACTAATGACATCATGACATATTAACGGGAACCCTTTCAGATGACACAAATTAACTTCCATATAAATCACTTTCCCAGGGCATGCTGTATGCAGGAGACGACAGGACTATATTCAAAGGGCACTGCTTATATTTCTGTAGTATCCCTTGTCCGTCACAGAAGAGTATAACGTAGCCAACAATTATCTGTGGAGCTTCAGAAAGGAAACTGTTGCACTAGGTAACATTTGGGAGGTAGCCTGCTGTGTTTGTGTATCCATATACATACATGTGTATTTACACATACCTTATTGTCCCCCTACAAGGAAATGTGTAATCTGCAGAATCACAAATAGGATCCTTGCATTCACATTCTGAAATAAGAGTTTTGACTCGCCGGGCGCGGTGGCTCAAGCCTGTAATCCCAGCACTTTGAAAGGCCGAGGGGGGTGGATCACGAGGTCAAGAGATCGAGACCATCCTGGTCAACATGGTGAAACCCCGTCTCTACTAAAAATACAAAAAATTAGCTGGGCATGGTGTCACGTGCCTGTAGTCCCAGCTGCTCGGGAGGCTGAGGCAGGAGAATTGCCTGAACCCAGGAGGCGGAGGTTGCGGTGAGCCAAGATCACGCCATTGTACTCCAGCCTGGGTAACAAGAGTGAAATTCTGTCTCAAAAAAAAAAAAAAAAAAAAGAGTTTTGACTCAAGAGGAGGGCCAGGCGTGGTGGCTTACGCTTGTAATCCCAGCATTTTGGGAGGCTGAGGCAGGTAGATCACTTGAGGCCAGCAGCTCAAGACCAGCCTGGCAAACATGGCAAAACCCCATCTCTACTAAAAATACATCAAAATTAGCTGGACATGGTAGCTCATACCTATAACCCAGCTACTCGCAAGGCTGGGGTGGGAGAATCACCTGAACCCAGGAGGCGGAGGCTGCAATGAGAGGAGATCATGCCACTACACACCAGCCTGGATGACACAATGAGACCATGTCTCAAAAAAAAAAAAAAAGTTTTAAATCAAGAGGCCTAAACATGGAACAAGCAGACATCCTGGTTTAGCTAAATAGTCCTAGTTTATTTTTATTTCTCAATATAATTATCAATAGTGCAGACCATCCCCTTACAAAAACATGTTCCACTTTGAATAATTACACATTACCTTACCTGAATGGCTATTGTCTTCATTACAGAACATTGGTTAAGCTTTGGCTGTGAGGTGGACAAAATTCGTGCTGTGATTTTCCTGTAAGAATACAGGTGGTCAAACTGGTTAAATCACCCTGCCTTTTCCTTTACAGAAAAGTCACGAACCTCGCGATATAAACAAAATGAGGAGAGCTTTCTTTTCTTATTTTTGACACAGAGTTTCACTCTTATCGCCCGGGCTGTAGTGCAGTGGCACTATTTCAGCTCACTGCAACCTCCACCTCCCGAATTCAAGCAATTCTCCTGCCTCGACCACTGAGTAGCTGGGATTACAGGTGCCTGCCACTACACCCAGCTAATTTTTTTGTATTTTTAGTAGAGACAGGATTCCACCATGTAGGCCAAGCTGGTCTTGAAGTTTTGACCTCAGGTGATTCACCCACCTCCCAAAGTGGTGGGAATTACAGATGTGAGCTGCCTCGCCTGGTCGAGGCTGGCTTTCAAACAATCAAAACACCAGCTCCGTTCCCCTGTCTTCATGAGAATTTGCTATTCGTGCAGCTTGTCAGGACCATTTCCAAATAATAGAGCTCTCTTGCCAGCCCCTAGGGATTTTCAATGTCACAAATACTTATGAGAAAGTTTTACACATTTCTCCATTTATATTATTTCTGGCATACTAGGCAAAAAGTAGAGGTAAGACTTTGAATCAGGATCTATTTATTTTTAAGTTAACAGTACAAAAGGGAAGGCTCTGTTTCCATCAAATTTCTCCATGCTACCAAACCTAGAATTATGAGGAACAGCAGCTCCACAGAAGGGAAAAGCTACCGCCAGGCATTCAACTGAAATCAAGTCATCTGTCACACATCCCTCCTTCACTCTCCCAAATCACAGCAGCTCTCATTCTCACTCGGAAAGGACAATGGAGGAACCACTAGAGTTAGGGGTGGGAGAAGCAGCAGCATTCACCCAGGCAGCAATTGACAAGGCAACAGATCTACTTACCCACACTCTGATAGCAGCCCCCTTATCCTAGGGGATGCCACGGATTGAAAAGCCCTGGCCTCCCACCCGCACTGTCCCAGCAAGTTCTGAGCATGTTCACACATGCTCTTGCCCCACAGGTAGCAGTGCTCTCATAGTGCGTCTCAAAGTGCAGTCCCATAGAAGGCCTTGTAACGTAGGTACTCTTCCAAGCACTGAAGAGCACTGTCATCTACCTTTGGGTCAAACTTGTTGGCCAACAGGTGAGGGTTTTGAAGCATCCAATGCACGTCCCCAGCCCCATACACACAGATAGCCCGCTGGTGGATTCCAGAGCAAGGGCCATAAGGGGCACCCTTACTGATGTCTCCCTCATGACCCTGCCACTTGACCAGCCTGGCAATAGAAGTCATGTCTGAGATGTCATACTTGCGGTGGTGGGGAACAGAGCCAGGCATCCACCATGCACGCTGAAGGGTGGCCCAGAGGTGTTCGTCAGGGCTGTAGGTGTCTTTTACCCATTCAATCAGTTGTTGGGATTTAGGATTCTTCAAAACATGTTGGACAAAAGCTCGAGAAGCCACAATATATGCATTCCCTGTGAACATAGTTACATTAAAAGGGGGAGGATCCTCCTTCTTTCTGGTTAGGTGTAACTGGTCTCTCACTACCTCAAAGTGATATTTCCAGCGGTTTTCTTTGAACTCAGTAGGTACCTCTGACTCCATACTATTCCTCCCATTCAACATCTTGAGAGCCTGGACCATCTCTGCATTGCTCTTTAGAGGAAAGTCCGTCCCACATGTATTCAGGAAGTATTTCCATGGCACTGAGCTCTGGAGCAAGTCTTCCATGCAGTTGAGGTCAGCTTGCACCCTGGACCAGGAGGCATAAACCACCCGAACTAGCTTACTGGCTATGAAGACGTTTGGGAAGCACGAGGTAATTGCTTTGACTGCCTTTTTGAAAGTTTCTGGGGACTTCTCATCCACGTGGATGCAGTATACGTTCTGAGGGGCATACACCGCTCGCAGGAGCCTTTCAAAGTTTTCAATCTTCTCATGAATCACCATGGAGTATGCAATAGGGAACTCCACCTCTTCTTTGCTCAGTGGGAACTGTATGAACTTCCTTTCAGCCTTAAAGCGCTCACAGTCTCTGGTGAGCGAGAGGTAGTGGGTGTCTGTGAAAGGCTCTCGCTTCTTCTTGACCTCCAGGTTACTCAGAATAGCCTGCAACACCGCTTCTTGGTCTCCTCGGGTAACCCCTGAACAGTCGATAGACCTGTTTGCTGGCAGCTTCAGGGAATTGTACAAGATATTCCGACAGTACCGGTTTTGAAATTCCCTGGACTCCAGACCCAAGTGGTCAGAGTCACACTTCAACCTGAGAGAAAGTTTCAGAGCCACAATGGCCAGCAGCATGTAACAGCCCAGAGCCCACAAGTAATGTTGCCAGCAGAGTCTTCTCCATTGAACCATCGTCACAGAATGGGAGACAGGTGGAGATTCAGCACAGGGAAGGAGGAAGACGACAGGATTCTTGGACAGAACAAAATGCCTCCAGTTACAAACCAATCATTCCCAGAAACATCACAATACTCAGAATAGCCTGCAACACCGCTTCTTGGTCCCCTCGGGTAACCCCTGAACAGCCGATAGACCTGTTCAATTCCAAACGGATGGCAAAACATATTTCTTACCTGGATCAATATCCTTAGTAAAGACCTGCCTACAAGCCCCTTACATCTGGTTTGTTGATGAAGATCTGTAACCTGACCTTACAAACGAGCTGACCACACTGAGGTCTGCCTCTGGCTCCACCTCCACCCAGGAGAAAAGGAAGAGCTGAGCACCTGCTGCCATGGAGCGTCATTAGTAAGGTGAAGCCCCCACCCACCCTTCATTCCTCATTCCTCTCTTGCCTTACGACCCGACAAGGTAGCTCTTATCTGGGGTCTGGAATTTCTGATAGATCCAGAGAGGAAAGCCCATAAAATTGGACTCTTGGCATCAGTTCTAGAAACCTAAAGATCCTTTTAAAACATTTCCTGGTTCTATTTTGGCAATTTACATAGCATTAGAATGCTTTTCACCACATATCATTCATTGGTCAGGTGTGACATCTAGCAATACTTTACTTAAAGAAGTAAAAATAACTGGATATTCTCCCAAAAAATGCATTGAAATCATTCAGAGTCCATCCAAATTTAAAATATACCTGCACACAAGCTGTGTATATACAATATTTAATGAGTACCTTTTGTGGGCAAGAAATATTTCTTTTTTTGAGAATTATTTCTTTACACTGTCCCATTTAATAACCTTCACAACCAATCAAAAATACACTATTAAGCCTCTTACATAGGTAAGATAATAGAAGCTAACTAACTTGCCAAATATACACACGTTTTAAGAAGAAAATCTGGGACTCCTCTCCACTCCTCTTCTCCCCCAGCGTTTTTGTCTGCAAGCCTAATGCTTGTTCCAGCAAACCACACCTACCTTTTAAAGGCAGTACAGGGAGTATTACAACTCTTTTATATTTTGTTTGACTCCCAAACAAATTCCACCATCCACTGAAGACCAGGAAACCCGTTTAAAAAAAGGAAAAGAAAAAGCGTTCTACACTGAAATCCTAAGATAAATAAAAAAGTAAACAATAAAAACTAAAAAATACAACAAAGGGTGCTAAGTACCAGCAAAGAAAACCAGATATTATAGAAAATAATCCCTAAAAGGAGAGGAAAAAAATGTGCCACATCCTTCAAGCAATGATTATTTTCCCCTGTTGTATCTCTTTCTAAACACAAAATTGTATCCTCTTTAGTCGTAACTTTTATGGGAATCTAAGAGGGAGAAAAACAAAAAAATGAAGACGGTTCTCACCTTTCGTAGCTTCTTTCCTGCTTAGGGATAATCTCTTCACGAGGTATGATTCTGTTTCCAAGTGAAGCCTTGTTGCCGTCTTTCACGGCAACAAATGTGAACAACTTTGTCCCCTGATCTTCTAACCCTCCAAAAGATATTTTCTGACATTCATGAGACATCCAGGAAACGGTTTCAGGCTCCTCTTTAATATCTGCAAAGCAAAGAACAGCAGCAAATGGCTCCATCACTCACCTTTTGACTTCCTGCTCTCAGATAAGAGAGCAAGCTCAGATAAATCACGCAGAAACATTCTCCAGCACAAGTCATTCAGGGAAGTGAGTGAGGCAGGAAAGAATGCTGGCAACATACGAAAAGGCAACCAGATATTTCAGCCGCAACAGCCCAGTGTGTACCTGTATCATGAACTATTCATAAAAACCTGTCAGTGCTCACGCAAGAACTTAACAGCCTTACTCCCTCAACAAGAAACCATAGAAACACAGAGATATGCCCCTGCCTTCTTTTGTTTGCGAGTCCAAATATCACTCATATTCCCTGAACATTACAGGAGGTGAGAATAAAAATATTTTTCAAGGATTTTTCTTTTGTTACTTTTCTTTAAAAAAAGCAAATCAATGAAAACCATGGTTTATTCTTCAAATGCAACTGCTCCCTCCTGGTCCGCCACCAGAACATATCCATTTGCCTTCCTTTGCATGACTATTAATAATCTGTAGGCTGCAGAAGTACCCACAGGTATCTAGTTTGTAGATATCCCTCATTAATATCTGTGAATCTAGAGCTATCGGCAGTCTGAGGAATGGATTACACTATGGGCTGGCTTTGGCCATGGTGTAGATCACAAAGTGCCTTCTTCAAAGCTGCTGACATTGCTAGACTCTCCCCAACCTCACCCACAACTGCTCCTAAAATGGCAACATTCCTAGCCAAATATCTGAACAGGGTAAGTTTTTTGTTGTTGTTGTTCTTAGACAGTGTCTGGCTCTGTTGCCCAGGCTGGAGTGCAGTGGTGTGATCACGGCTCAATGCAGCCTTGACCTCCTGGGCTCAAGCCAGCCTTCTGCCCCAGCATCCTGAGTAGCTGAGACCACAGACACACACCATCATGCCTGCGGAGCTAATTTTTTTTTTAATTTTTAATAGAGATGAGGTCTTGCTATGTTGCCCAGGCCAGTCTCAAACTCCTGGGCTCCAGCGATCCTCCCACCTCGGCCTCCCATAGTGCTAGCATTACAGGAGTGAGCCACCATGCCCATCCTGAACAGAAGAAGTTTAACATAAACAACTTAACTAGACATAAAGTTAAGGTATAAAGAGTGGGGGAAGGGGACACTATTAGGGCCTTAGCAATTTTTGGAAGTAGCTACCACTCCTAGATTGAGGGAATTAAGGGAGGAAATGAAAATTATTGAATTTAAATTTTGGGTGGAGGGACACCAAAGAAGCTGAAACTCATAACTGTAAAGAATAGGGACCACTCAACTATTGCTGAGGTCTCTGAGCTCAGAGGAGGGCCCTCTAGGCTGAGATCCAGGTCTCTCAAGAGGCAGCTGGTATCTCTACTGATAGCTACTGTAAATGGAATTTAGTGCAGCTACACAAAAAAACATCCACTGAGAGGTAAATAGGCGTTGACATGGCGACGCTCACAGAAGCAGGAAGTAAATAGGAAGCCAACAGGAAGTCCCTCCTCCAGCCTCCTGTCTCCCTCCAGCAGCCATTATTGGCAGAGTTTAAGGAGAAATGTGGTTTCAAGAGTCGCCTCTCCAACATCACAAAGTAGAGTTGAGAAGGGTGGGCTTCTTCTGAAGATAATGGAGATGAGTCAGGGTTGCCTTCTTGGTGCATGAATTGTTTACATGCATACCTCCAAGATTTTCAGCGTAGGGAATTTAGACATTTTCTTTTTTGGTCCTCTCCCCACTGGCCTCTGACTGCAGATGAAGCCACAGCAAAGACAAGGAAGTCATGTGGGGTTGACAGAGGTGTTTGAACCAGAGCAACTCCATCTTGAATAAGGGTGGAGCAAAATGAGGCTGAGACCTACTGGGCTGCATTCCAGACAGTTAAAGCATTCTAAGTCACAGGATGAGACAAAAGGTCGGCACAAGATACAAGTCATAAAGACCTTGCTGCTAAAACAGGTGGTAGTAAAGAAGCTAGCTGAAACCCACCAAAACCAAGATGGAGAGTGCCCTGCTGTCCTCCTCAATGCTGCACTCCAACCAGTGCCTGACAGTTTACAAATGCCATGGCAACTACAGGAAGTTACCCTATATAGTCTAAAAAGAGGAGGCATGAATAATCCACCCATTGTTTAGCATATAATCAAGAAATAACCATAAAAATGGGCAAGCAGCAGCTCTCGGGGCTGCTATATCTATGGAGTAGCTGTTCTCTTACTCGTTTACTTTCTTAATAAACTTGCTTTCACTTTATGGACTGGCCCTGAGTTCTGTCTTGCGCAAGAATTCTTGGAGTCTGGATCGGGACCCCCATCTGGGAGCAGGGTCATCTGTACCCCTACTTTGGCCCTGCTCTACAGGATGTTTTCTGCATCAATGGGATTCTCAGTGACTTTCTATCTTTGAGTATAAAAATCCTTGAGACAAGAATGATTACAAGATAAGCACTTGCTTATCTGAATGTAGAAAAATCATTCCACTTTCTTCATATCCTACTTTTCTCTGGTGCCCCCTCACACCTCACCTTCTTTCCCATCAAAAACACATTAGAGGCTGAGTGCGGTGGCTCAGCCTGTAATTCCAGCACTTTGGAAGGCCAATACAGGCGGATGATGAGGTCAGGAGTTCGAGACCAACATGACCAACATGGTGAAATCCCATTTCTACTAAAAATACAAAACTTAGCTGGGCATGGTGATGCACACCTGTACTCCCAGCTGCTCAGGAGGCTGAGGCAAGAGAATTGCTCCAATCCGGGAGGCAGAAGTTGCAGTGAGCCGAAATCGTGCCACTACACTCCAGTCTGGGCGACAGAGTGAGACTCAGTCTCAAAAAAAACACCACGTTATACAGTCTCTCGGTCAGTGAAAACATTTTGAATATTTGATGGCTTTAGTTTGTGTATGTGTTTTTGTTCATAAAGACAGGATCTCGCTGTCACCCAGGCTGCCGTGCAGTGACAGATCATAACTCACTGCAGCCTCAAACTCCTGTGTCCAAGCCATCCTCCCACCTTTGCCTCCCAAGTAGCTGGGACTACAGGCACATGCTACCATGCCCAGCTAAGTTTTAAAAATTTTTTTGTAGAGACAGGGTTTCACTGTGTTGCACAGGTGGTCTCAAACTGCTGGGTTCCCAAAGTGCTAGGATTACAAGTATGAGCCACAGCGCCAGGCCTGAGTATTTCATTTTTGTGGTTGTCTGGCTCTGTTGCCCAGGCTGCAGTGCAGGGGCACAATCTCAGCTCTCTGCAACCTCTGCCTCCTGGGCTCAAGTGATCTTCCTACCTCAGCCTCTGAGTAGCTGGGATTATGCCCAGCTAATTTATTTTTCTTTTTTCTTTTTTTTTTTTTTTTTTTTTTCGTAGAGATGGGGTTTGTTTTTCTTCTGGCTGGTCTTGAACTCAGGAGCTCAAGTGATCGCCCACCTTAGCTTCCCAAAATGCTAAAATTACAGGCATG